GTCCCCCCCCCCCCCCAACCCTGTCTACCGGACTGGACGGCGTGAGTAGTACGTAGAGATGACACCAAAATCAAACTATCTGCGGTCAGGGGGTCCCGTGGTTTGTTTCGTACAGGTTGAGAGTCATCCTGACAGTCGGACGTTTCAACGAAATTCTAGGGTCGTAAGGTGTACGCACCCGTAAAATATGCCAATGCGTCGCGTGCATTGGCGGCGGCTTTGGTGTAATTGAGAGTCATTCTGGCAGTGGAACGTTTCAACGAGGTTCTAGGGTCAGACACACGTTTGTGCGAGCGTCTGCTCGCATGAATTGTCGGCGGTTTTGGTGTAATGTACTGCATGGTGGACGGCTAGCGTTGCACCCGCGTGCGTTATGTGTCCGCTGTGCGGTACATGTATGAGCGTTTGAACCATCAGCAACAGCAGCCACATCAACAATTCTTAAGAACTCGTCACGCGAGCAACCACAACAGCAACCCCACCACCCCACTACAAACAACGACCACAGCAGCAACAGCAACGACAACAAAAACAACCACAACGATTAACCACCTACTTCCTCTGCTCCGTCTACAGGTGAAAATGGTCGATGCGGGGGGCAAAAGGATAAAGATGACGATCTGGGACACCGCTGGCCAGGAGCGGTTCCGCACGTTGACGAGCTCGTACTACCGAGGGGCACAGGGGATCATGCTCGGTGAGGAAGGACAATCGACTGCCTGGATGTACAGCAGGCGGACGCCTCGCGGTTGGCTTCGTTCGTGCAAGCTAGAGTTCGTACACTCGGCCTTTCACCCGTAGGCATCCAGCCGCGTGGCACCCACTCTCCCTAGTAGGAGCAGGGTTAACCGAGGACGTTTCCTCCCATTCGTTTGACGGGTATGACGGCCTTCACTGCGGAGGACGCCAAGGTGCTGCTGCTGCTACTGCTGCTGAAAGGCAATCGTAGCCGGGGGCTCAAGGTCACCTCGCTGTTGCTGAATAATGAGCCGATCCCTAGCGGACGGAGGGCTGTAGAAGTGGTATGAGGTACATCGGCGGGAAGCAAGGCGAAAAGGGCGGGGTGGAAGACGTCTCACAAAAGAGCGAAATGTAGTTCGAGTGCGGCAGCAAACTCTCTACATGAGTAAAACTTTCATTTTTGTTCTCGGCTACGCGTGTGTTACTATCTTTTTTTTCCTTGTGGGCATGCAAGTTGTGTGGTGGGTGGCCTAGTGCCTGCTCATCGTAGAACTGTTTTCATCCTTCACACACGTGGCCACTAGGTGTAGAGATCGGATGCCAACTACTGTTGCGAAGTGGATGAGATCGCCTGCTGCCTATTGCCTATTGCACATGCACAAATCAACCACCAAACCACTCTATTGCGCCGCATCATTGATTCCCGCGAAACGATGGGAGTCCCACCGCAAACCACGCGATAGGTACTCGCTTTTCGTGAAAGGATAACAGTTGCCTTAGCTGTCAACTTCTGCTCGGTCTGTGCGTCGCCACCCGCTCAAGATGCGGTTGCGTTCGTTCCAACATGACACCGTTGGAATAGAAAACAAGGAGGGGCAGAGATCGTAGGTGCTTGGCCGCTATCGTGATCGCCAACGTTCATTCACCGCGAGGGACATGGCGGTGGTATTGTAGAGGTCCCTGTTTAGTGCCGTTATGTGCCCAGAATATTCAACGGCACTATACCTGACCGGTACTTTTCAAAGTATTGAGGATGACTTGGAAAGTGAGTGCCCGCCGAAAACACCGGCACTATACCGGGCATTGGCACTAAACAGGGACCTCTACTGCTGTATTGTGTTTTTGTGTTGGGGGTGGTACCGAAAGTAACCGCCTTGCCTCTCCCAACCTCCCCCCCTAGAATTCTTTGATGCTGGACGTGACGCTTGCTGTGCTCTCCGCCGCCCCCTTTTGTATTCGTCCTGTTTTGTTGTTGCAGTGTATGATGTAACGCGACCGGAGACTTTCGACAACTTATCCAAGTGGCTAGAAGAGGTGGAGACGTACCATCCTGGCAGGGGAAGGGAGGTGTGTTGCTGTTGCTGGCTCTTGTCGCCGTCGTTGATTTTTGTGACCATTTATTGCTGTTGTTGCTTCTTGTTAGAGGCGCTGTTGCTATAGCTTCTGTTGTCGTTGTTGTTGTTATCATTTGTTTCTGTTTTGTGTGGTCGTTGTTATTTGTTGCTGTTGCTTTGTGTCGTCGTCTTCGTTGTTGTTTTTGTTGTTGCTGCTGGTGGTGCGTGAACTGCGTTTGCTGTTGCGACCCGCCTCCCTTGGTTATCAACGTTTTGTCTTATGTTGTCGTGAAGTCTACCGAATTCAATTTTCTTCGACGGCAACCAGCCGGCAATATCTGCGTTAAACCCGTCGGGTAATAATGGTTGCATTATTTGTCATGCCAGTCTAGTCTTCAAAAGATGAAAAACCACATTTTTTTGTGTTTCGAAACTCGTGTGCGGTACGTTTCTTCTCAACTCCCCCTCTGCGTGAAATTCGAATATCCAACAGGTAGTGAAGCTGCTAGTGGGGAACAAAGTGGACAAGGAGAGGGTGGTTACGCGTGCTCAGGCTGAGGAGTACGCGCGCAGCAAGGGTATGCTGTTTTTGGAGGCCAGGTATGCAGCACGGAAGAAGAAGCATGTCATGTCCTTATGTACCACAACAAGCAATACACTGTGGGGTCCCTGTTTAGTGCCGGCATGTGCCCAGAAAATTCGCCGGCACCATACCGGACCGGCACTACTCTCAGCAGTACTGACAATGACTTGGAAATTCAGTGTGCGCCCGCCGAAAACACCGTATGGTACTATCCGGGCATTGTCATTATTCAACCGGCACCAAACAGGGCCCCCCTCTGTAGACCAATAAGTTGCTTGGCGTATCCATCGGTGGAGAAACGACAAGGGATAAAACAAAGCATTACCTGTCTACTTCGTACTCATCTTGACTTCGTTCTCGGGTTGGTGTTTCGTCTCCTAGGGGAATCAGCACACTCGCGGCTTGGTGACCACAACATACGTTGCATTGTGCATGGCTTGTGTCTTGATTTCTGCGGCATCAACCGCTCTGACCCGCAGACCAATGAAAACGGCAATCTCAGTGCCGCTGAAAACAGAAAATTACCATCATTCTCACCATTGTTTTGACAGCAATTTTTCGGCAGTTCTTCTCTGGCCCTTCGTCGCTTGTCGCGGGGAAAGGTCATCTGGCTCGAAGCTTTTGCTCTCTTCCATGCCATGATCCACTCCTCGATTGGTGTCTCCTTGGTCCATGTCCTTTCCTCATGTTCCCGCTCCTCCTCCTTGATCGCTGCCAAACGAATTTCCCTCGCTGCCGTCATAATCGGTTTTTGTGTGTGTTATTTTATTATTATTTTTGCTGTCGTCGGCAAGCCGGCCTAATAGCAGTTCAATAGTCGTCTCCGAGGTGTACATAGACGTTATAGAGTCGCACTGTGTCGTGGCGATTGCTACCACATGCGATGGGGTTCATGTGTGATGTGATTGATTTCTTGCTATCCGCCAACCCGTTGGTGCCGGGGATCATTGAATCTGCATTGCTTGCTGGTAGATAGATGGCCCGTGTTGTGTTCTGGCTGGTGGTCATATCCTTTTCATGCTATTGATTTACTTTTAAGTATCCGCCAATTTATTTGGTATCGGGGCGGACAAGATTTGTTGCTCGCGGCCTGGTGGCCGTGGTCATGGCTGGTTACCGTATATTGTATAACAGCCCGGGGGTAGCCCCGGCCTCAACTGAAGCCTTTCTCTCTCTCTCTCTTTTCCCGCGGGGGAAGTTGTACTGCTTGCAAACGGAAGCGGTGGTGGGAAAATTTCAAGGCTCCTCTCGGTAACGATTTCTCAGTTCGGTCACGATTGGTACGGGAACCAGCGAATACGGTAATACGACCGTAATATTTGGGTGGTTACTGGCCAGCACGGTAATGCATGGTAATATTCGTGTGGTAACCGCCCACGATGGTAACTCCCGTACGGGAACTTCCCCTCCAGCGAGAGGTCCACACCACCAACGAAGGGTATTTTTTCTTCACACACACACAGCGGCAGTCGAGACAGACAGAAAGCAGTCAGCTCGACACCGACACAGAGAGGATGGGCTGCGGCGTTCTTTTCGTTTCTCCATCTCTCTCTGCATACATAATACGTTCTTCCTGCGTTCTTGCCCGGACCACGGGGGGATACGTTAGACTGGTTATGGCGCCACTTAGCAGTTGTGGTCGACAGTCTGGATGGAGAAGTATCTCGTTTTGTAGAGTAGTGGCGGCTGGCTATGGTCGACAGTCTGAGAGGAAAAAATAACTAACGTGGTGTGGAGTACGTCGTATGTATTTGACGTGTGGGTGGTGCTCTGCGTATGGCGTATGTGCTTTCTGCTCTGTCTGCCTTTTTATAGTTCTCAGTCAGTACTTCATGCAATACCTGTTGTGCGTCCACCCGGAATAGACTATTTGTTGGCGGCGTGGCGTATAATTGTTGTCGGCGGCGTATTGTGTGTTTCTGTATCACGTCGAAACAGCAGTACAAAGGGAGGCTAATGGTTGGAACGGTCCGTGGTAAACTTTGCACCAGAACCCTTTGATACTGGTCGTCGGTGCACGTTCCTGAGGAGTGGACGTAGCATCTGCTCTGCCCCTCCCTGCCTCGCAAGAACGCCCCACACACTAACGCTCCACGCATGGTTCTCGGGAGATAAATGTATGTATCCTTGACGCAGTCGATTGCGGTGCAAACCGGCCACCTGTATTGTCGACCTGAACGTGACTCTTCGCGTCGTGTGGGGTGCGTCGTTGTTGACGACCTGTGGGGGTCCTGAAGTAAGAAGAAGGGGGGGCTTGGTTGCTAGGTGAATCAATCGAATGGAGGAGATATACGAACATGACGTACAACAACGGACGCGTTCTCGAAACAGAGACGAGCTGTTGCACCACATTTGGAGGAGGGGCGGACGGGGCCAGGAGGGACACCTCTTCCAACCCACACGACAATCTGTCCATGGGATCTCGTGAAACATCGCCCGAAGAAAAACAACTTGCTTGTGGAGCAGAAACTGGAGATCGCACACTCTAAAATCAAGTGAAAAAAAGGGAGTGGGATCACTTTCGGTGGGGTCACGTTTGGTTGCGTCGAAATCGAGAAAAGGTCTGAGAATTTCCGCAACAGAAAACTGAAGCAAATAGGCTTCAGAATGATACAATATAACACACCCCCTGAACCGATTTTCAAAGCTCAACCACGCCACGACGACGAGGGTGCATCAGAGAAACGATACATATTTCGGAAAGCTCTCGACGAGACGGCTTCAACGCCGCCGGTTTCGACGCTGTAATTCTTTCTGCTGTTGAGAACGAGATATTTGAAAATCGATCCAGGGGGGGTGTTACTGTGGGTCGCATGCGGTACTGTTTTCTGGTCTGATGGCCTTGGTCATGTCCGTGCAATCAGACCCAGCAATAGGCATTCACATGCCCACGGACACCTATCTATCTACCAGCAATGTTTCCAACGACCCGACACCAAGCACTTGGCGGATTAGCAAGAAATACATCAAATCACACATGAACCCCATGACACAAATGTAACGGTGTGTGACAGGCTGAAGAGACCAAGACGTTGCACCGCGGATGTCGAACTGCTCGAGCTAACCGACCGTCTTTGATTGGCCTACCGGTTTTTGTCGTGTACGCTTGTCCCAAGGAGAAACCTCGCACGTAGGTAAAGCTTTTTTTTTCTTCTGTCAGAGGTTTACGCGGAACTGACAATGAACTTTGTATTGGTTCTAGCTCTTGGCGCAGTCGTTTTCGAGCCCGGGCCATCGGTGATCGGTCCTGTAGGAACAACGCTCAATCGCCCTCTCGAGGAGACATGCAAAACATGAGTTTCCCCCCCCAGCTCCCTCCTCTCGAGCACGCGTGGTCAATTGGCTAACCGCTAAGGCATGCAAAATGCAAGAGTACGCCCCGCTCCCCCGCCCCCCCGCCGCGCGCCCCGACAACAACCAAACCCCAAAATGCACACAGCGCGAAAACGAAGGTCGGTGTGAAGCAGGTCTTCGAGGAGGTGGTCCAAAAGATCCTCGACAACCCCAGCCTGCTCGCGAACACCGCTCCCGGGAGACCGAGAGACACCGTCGACCCTTCCAGGCCGAATCCCAACCAGGCGGGGGGAGGGCTCTGCTGCGGCTGATCGGATCGAATGGACTGATGAGATTTGATTGGATGCCGGGTAGTCCCAACCACGAGGGCTCTGCTGTGGCTGATTGGATTTGGTGGTGGACGGGTGGGACTTGATTGATTGCCGGGTCAGGCTAGTTTTTTTTTTTTTTGCTGCCGACACCCCGGGGGCACCGACTGGTGTTTTTTTGCCGGGCGGGGGGGAACGGGGGGGTCGCTTCGAAGTGCGAGTTGTAAAAGGGGGTCCCCGCTGTGGGGTGACTTCCTGGACAGGTGTAATACTGCTGTAGGAGCCCTTAAATTTTCTGAGATAGTCGTTTTTTTTCTTGTTGAGGGATTGAGTATTGGTGGGAAAAAACCGTGGTCGGCTGCTGTTGGTGGTGTCACCCAGTGCGGACGACTACAAGCCCGCAGTTTCATTGTCGCTGAAGTTTGTTTCATGGTAAAGCTCTCGGTTAGTTCCGATTTATCCGGCTGGTCAAAGTATCCTTGGCCTGTGGGCAATCCCAGCGAAACGTCGAAACCTCCCTTTTTTGCGTCATTGGGAGGTCGTTGTTGTTGTTTTTGCTATAATACTGTTGCTGTTGTGTTGTAGTGGAGAGTCGCGTGTGCGCGTGCGTGAGTCGCGCGAACCGCCCAAAACGGAACAATTTTTCATCGGTGTTGGCGTCCTGCTATATAATATGCACGGTGGTGCTGGCTGGGGCAGCAAGGAGCTTGATTCAACCAAGTCAAACTTCCCTCGTAGGTCACGAATCACGCTGAAACTTCGTGAGCGCTTCTAAAGCGGCAGGAGAAGAGCGTAAGGGTGGCTGGGGCTGTCGTGCGGAATCGGCTCAAAAAAGTGCGTGGTTTGGAGCTTCCGAATGAGGTCGACGTACGTACGCACCAAAGTTTTATTTTCCGCTGGTTTTAATTTCCGCTGGTAGCAATATGAATGGTAGTAGTTGGTAATGGTGATAGTTAGTAGTAGAGAGGCTAAAGAAGGTAATATACATACACACATACACAAATATATAAACGGTCGCCCCGGTGGTCTAGTGGGTAGCCTCGCAGCCTGCTAAGGGCCAGGTCATGGGTTCGAGTCCCGGCAGAGAGAGTTTTTTCTCACTAAAAAAATCCTGGTCTAGTTNAGTGCGTGGTTTGGAGCTTCCGAATGAGGTCGACGTACGTACGCACCAAAGTTTTATTTTCCGCTGGTTTTAATTTCCGCTGGTAGCAATATGAATGGTAGTAGTTGGTAATGGTGATAGTTAGTAGTAGAGAGGCTAAAGAAGGTAATATACATACACACATACACAAATATATAAACGGTCGCCCCGGTGGTCTAGTGGGTAGCCTCGCAGCCTGCTAAGGGC